TCGCTTAACAGGCTTCCGTGTCTAGTAGCGGGGGGTCACCAAAACCTCCAGGCAGGAACCTAAGTATGTTAACAATAAAAGAGGAAAGAGAAATTGGTAAATCATAGTATGATACTACCCTTAAGAATAGATACACTTGCCTCTTAAAGGACTCCTGGGAAGTCGCTTGGATTAGCTCGGCGGGCAGCGGATCCCAGCATTTGACAACTCTTAAGGAGTAGAAGTTGCGTCTACAGTCCGTTCTGCCATGTTGTGTCGCTGGTTTCTGGGACTAAGCTTAAGTAGGTGTTTTAGGGGATGTCCAGAAGTGTTAGGGTTATTGTAAGCCATTAGGTCACATCTAAGACGTCTATACTCTAATGAGTAGAGGTTAAGTGATTGAAGGCGCTTTTCATAAGGTGATTTGGTGCATATCTTCGTCATTTTCTTGCGAGACTTACATACTCGGGTCCTCTCATAACTTATTCTAACCACCATGGTTTGTCACGGCAGCTGATGGATGGACACGCGTTACACATCCTAACCGTACCTGTTTCTTATCTTATAGCTTCTAATTCAAATGACAGGCAAGCATTGCCCCTACCCGCACTAATGGAACACTAGTAACTCAAGTGCACCCCGTATGGTACCTTACACTGGTTTACGTACTCGCTTAGCTCTTTAGTGAGAATATTAATACGGTCCTGCTGAAAATCCCATGAACCCCCCTACCTCCATCAAAACAAATAAGTCTGTATTTGCAGCATATAGCAATTTCATTATTCAAAAGTAAGATATAACAGTTAGAATTAGAGTAAAATGGCAGTATACAGCAGATGCACGTGGTACATGTCTTCATCAATAAACTGAAATAGAGAATACGGATATTAGCTTAACAGGCTTATTTAGAAAGACTAGTGTCTAATTTGAACTTACTGCGTGAGAAAGTTATACTGGAACTACGAATAATGTAGGAATCTAGTCTCCCAGGGCGTACGAAGCACTCAGACTGTAAGACAGTTGTCCAAAAATAATTCGAATATGAAGGTGAAAATTTTCAGGCACTTTTCATCGTAAGGGTGAACATTGGTGCCAGATGACATCATATCGTAAAAAACACAAATTTGCGAGTGGTGAAATATGATCTATAAAAAAGTGAGCTTAATAAACAGTTAATTACCTTTTACTCCCTGATCATGACCTTTCGGCTTCCTTTTATGGCCAAAACAGCAAACATACACTACACACTGATAGCAGATTTCCGGCTTTTCAATGTTAAGCTTGCTTTAACACACTGCATAGTGAGTACAACCCCTATATTACTGCTATATGGCATATTTTTCATAACAAACCCTCTGCAATAGAATGGTAGCATCTGTGACTTCATCTATAGTTGTCGGAAGTCTGGGTCCTTTCGAAATCAGTACCGATATACCCTACTGCTGGGCACTCTGTATTAGTTTGACTCGTTGGTGGGATAGTGTTGTCCATAATACTGAAGAAAATTTAAAAAAGCGCAGATTGTTTCCTTTCGTTTTGCCGATAACACAAGACTAGCCAGATCGCCTGAAGAAATACATTGACTTGAGTAGAAGCAGCAAAAACCCAGAAAACATCGCTGATTCGAAATAAACTTCACACCAACATATAATACATTACACTAACTGCGGCATTTTAGCACACTGAGACATTAAATTACACAGCTACACAAAAGAAATAGCTGAAAGAAGCACAGAACGAAGAAGGCCGGCCGCCATTGCTTCAAATGGTTCAAATGGTTGTGGACGGAATAGAAGAAGCTTTCGCTTAACAGGCTTCCGTGTCTAGTAGCAGGGGATCACCAAATCCTCCAGGCAGGAACCTAGGTATGTTAACAATAAAAGAGGAAAAGAAATTGGTAAATCATAGTGCGATGCTGTCCTTGGTCCTTAAGAATAGGTCAAGTTGCCTCTTGAAGGACTCCTGAGAAGTCGCTTGGACTAGCTCGGCCGGCAGCGAGTTCCAGCTTTTGACAACTCTTAAGGAGTAGAAGTTGTGTCTACATTCCGTCTTGCTATGTTGTGTTTCCAGTTTCTGGGTGTTACCCCTTAGGTTATTATTCGAACTAAGCTTAAGTAGGTGTTTAAGAGGATGTCCAGAAGTGTTAAGAATACTATAAGCCATTAATAAATCACCTCTAAGACGCCTATATTCTAGTGGGTGAAGGTCTAGTGAACGGAGGCGTTCTTCGTAAGGCTTAGATTTGAGTCCTCGAACTGATTTCGTGACTCGCCGTTGGATACGCTCCAAAGTGACCTTGTCCTTTTGGAGTGAGGGGGGAGTACTATGTTTCCGTACTCCAAATGGGGACGGATGAAACTATTGAAGATTGTGTGGAAAGTTCTTCCGTCAAACTGGCCAAAAATGCGCCTCAACGTTACCAGTGCAAGGTTTGCTCGGAAGGCATTTTTGTCACAGTTAGCGTAAGACTTTAAGTCATGGGGCACCAGGACTCCTAAATCTTTTTCGACTTGGGATACTACTAGAGAGGAGTTTCCTAAGTTGTAACTGTAGTTTGCGACATGTCGCAGATGGACTACTTTACACTTAGAAGTGTTAAAGGTAAGTCCGTTATCGTCTGCCCAACTTTGAAGTCGAGTCAGATCCTCTTGAAGGGCCTGTATATCGTCTTGGTTGCGTATCTCTCTCCAAAGTTTCACGTCGTCGGCAAAAAGTAATAAGTCTGACGTTACCTGTTGAGGAAGATCATTTATGTAGATCAAGAAGAGAAGAGGCCCTAGTACTGAGCCCTGGGGGACCCCACTAGGACATTCCATAGCTTGAGATAAAGTGAAATTAACCCTAACCTTAAAGTGTCGATTTTTTAGGTATGAAGTAAGCCAGTCGATTAGAGGTGGTTTGATACCTAGTCGTTTGAGCTTGTTGATAAGACACAAGTGGTTAACCTTATCAAAAGCTTTTGAGAAATCAAGGTAAATGACATCAACCTTTCCCTTGCGATCGAGGATGCTTACGAAGATGGCGGATGTAATAATTCCCGCCTCATTCTGATTGGTTGCTAAGCTGAAGGGCACATTTACGAAATTGAGTTGCGTTTAATTGCAGCCGCGATCAGTCTTCTGACAAAGTGATACGTCCCTTGTTATCAGATACTTTGATTAAGATTCGGTGTTATTTGATCCACATAGTATATACGTGCCTTACTGAAGGTACACTACTAAGGGGGTAAGGAGAGTCAGGATTACGAAAACACAGTTGTCCATTATTCAACAGAAAAAAGGTGAGACATAATACCTATTTAAAACGAGATACTTAAATAAATATAAACTCACATTCCGACTTTCTCCCCCTCATATTAGCTCATATCCGTCTATTCTTAACGTTAATATTCATCAGGAGCTCCCATAAACTCAGAAGTTATTAGATGCACGTCTATTTAATCACGGATCACTTAATTTTACACCAAAGCTTCACATTTTTCTGTTTTCGTGCACTTTACAGTCGCCATATCTCAGATTTAGTTATCAGCCTACCCAACAATGTGGCTCAACTGAATTGTTTATTTTTGCTGAGTAGTCCTGTATTGTTAGATATTTACTGTTTGAAAGCCACTGCCAAAAATAAGATTAGGTAAAGTTATTTTAAAGCCTAATGAGCTATTTAAACGCACCCCACTTGAAGTTAGCATATGGGTCCAAATCCGGCGACAACCAGACATGTCTAGGAAACTGAGAAGTCCCCCTATCAATACACATCGTTAAAAATTCTCCAAAAGTAGTAGAAAGTAGTTCTTTATCTGTTTGATCACGAGATGTGCAGTCGGATGACCAATAGATATGTGTCTGTAGGGCCAGTGAAATGTCACTTAGCCCCAGCCAAATCATCTGACAGTTGGGTCACTAAGTATCGAACAGATCGTCAATCCCTCTCAAGGCCAAGGACGACCAACGCTCATCAGTTAATCGTATGCCACGGACTGGCCCATGCGGTGGTGGTCACACTTCCGCTTGCACCTACTCTAGCTAATAAATTTCTGTAATAACTTCCTCTGTGTTACACGGTCTTCAAAGCAGCCATAGCGCTTTGACCCGGCGAAGAAGTGAACCATGTTAGGCGCTGACCGTGAGGTGTGGCTTCGAAGTTAGCTGTTGGCCACACCATTCCCGTCTAAATCGAGTAGGCTCCCAAACATTCAAAAGAGACCATCAACGTTGATGATGTACATGTCTATCAACAGTCCTGAGATAGTCCCCAGAAGAATATCCACAACATTGGTTTCAGAGGTTATCAGGCAGCTTGGATTGAAATTCGGTGGCGATTTCCTCGGAGTTTTACATTATTTTTCTTTTTAAATTGAAGATGCCACATGTATCTGGAGTTTGACAACGCTTTAACCAGTAGCACCTAATATGAATCGTACCCATCAAGTGAAATCAAAAGACAGAAGTAAGAAGGTTTGAAGATATATTTGATAGGTTATCAATATATCGAGGATCGGTTGGTCTAGACTGGCTAGCGATTGAAGGGAATGCTGAGCACGGCGTTCCCACTAGTGATCTGGTGCGGATGCCTGACCGAATTCCTCCAGCTAGGTGAGTCAATTAAAACTAATGTGGTCGGCATCCACTGTCGAAGACTCACAGAGCTATTTATTTTGGGGATTCATTTACCGCTACAAAATGTTAAACATTTCAGAACAGAACTATGACCCAGCCATGTATTCCCGATAATATTCCCGTTTTGGTCCTTTTAAACCTTTTCTATTTACAAGTAACACCAAAAGTGCAGAGTGAACCTCCCAGGTTAGTGTGTATTTCACTCAAAGTATCATTTAGTTATAAAACAATGTAATCCCACTAGCATTTCAGTTCTGCCAGTACTAAATAAGGCATATAAGCTGTCATTAACTCTTATGAACTTCAGCTTCTGTGACTGATGAACATAATCAAGTCTAATACTCACTAAAGATTGATATATTTGTTCGTCTTACTTTTGAGTTCTTTCTTTAATTGAATGCAGGAAAACGATTGACCTTCAAGGGTCGAGTGCTCTAGGTCGGTCTCCGCATGGCTAGGGGACTAATTGGGAATATGGTCTCTGAAGCCCTGGTGGGTCTTGACCTGGTTTTCACGAATGACGTATCTTCGCAATATTCTTCAGCTCTCTCGTCTGGGTAATATTAAACTACTTCATTATTCAATTTCAGGTTTTCATTTCTTTGCATAGACTTGTTTCATCCAAAATCAATTGTTGAATATCTGTCAGTTACCTCTGGTGGTCCTGATCCACGTTCTGACCTTGCCTACGAAAAAAATGGTATGAAACTACTTTCGTTTCTGTCAGACTTTAGGCAAAAGCATCACGAAGTCGTTGGTAGGTAAGGTGTCGACGACGATTGATGTTGATGCTGACATAATATCCATCCGTCAATCGGGTGCTCAACTATTAATGAAGGAACTTAGTTGGGCTGCACATCTAGGCTTGCCTGCCGTTATCGTCAGAGTTAATCGCCCAAACAGTCCTAATCTGGCCAGGTTACTAATAAATTTTATACGTGGAGAATATACCCCGATTAAGGTATTTACTGTGGTCAAGTTAACATTTTAAAAGATATGGCTAGTATTTCCAATGGTAATCAATTTCAACAGCTCTAATGAAAGTGAGTGAAATTTCAGATCATTCATCCAAATTTTATGTAAGGTTTTCATATCCACGCGTAGTTATTATAAAAATTTAAAGTTTGACGGCAATTTAGTACTACTTCAAATAATTTCACAGTTCATAGGAAAGCATCTCAACCTACGTGTTATGTACTCAACAAGTGATTAAAAAATGTTGTGATTGTTTGAATTTGAAATTTTAAAGCCAAAGGCTTTGGTCTCTGGAGCTTTCTAGATAAAAATAAAGCTTATAACTATTCCTTATACTCAGACTAGCGCGTAGCACCAAGTAATTTGGTCACTGAATGTAAGAATATACTATATTAATAAAACCTGAGGGAACTACTTAACACTACGAGTTTACATATTAAGTTTATCATAACAGCACCCAAATAAAAAAATCAACAAATGTAATGTTAAAGTAGACAACATAAGCATAACAAAAGAAAACGTTGGAGTAATCACTATTTATATAATAAAGAGTTAATCCCTTGCTATTGCGACTGATTTTTCGCTATACCAAATAGCCCCTTGCTGTAAAGCTTGGTAGTTCGAGAATCTTTCACAAAGTAATCTTCTTACCTAGATATTCTTAATAACTTATAGGTTGTCCGGCAGTTGTTTTTCATTTCACCAGGTATTAACTTTAAGTGGTACATTGTTGTATTGGGCTCTATCTCGTCCTAATCATTCATAAAATAGCTTGCTACTAGTTTTCATTATCCCAGCTAATGCAACTTACTTAAAGTTCTTAAAATTTATTCATGCTGTTTATACTTCGTCATTGCGGCGAATTTATCGATATGATTTATTCCAGTGAGTAAAGTGGAAAACAAGGAATCAACACCGGATGAATTATCATTCTGTTCACCCTGGCACTGGTGGCTAAATCTATCTACCATGACAGCTGATATCTCAGACGCTCTTGGCATTGTTCTTGAGATACCAAATGACCTACCCAATGAGTCAGTGATTTCAAGATGGTTTAGTGAGCCTGTGGTTTGTTTGTTGATTGATACACAGCTGTTCCTGACCAATTCCAAGGGCTACCCTGTACTACCAAAGAGTCATCAGTATATCATCAACCGGTTCTTCAAGGTACTTATGAGTTCCCATACGTTTCTTTTAATGGATATAATAAAACGGTTTTGTTACCTTTAGGTAAACGCACTTCAGTTTCTGTTTAGTCTTCGTGCGGATTAGTACTGTGCTACCAATGTTTGATAACATTATTTATTCCTTTACACTAACTCATTTGTGCCATGGCTACTGCTCCTCCTTTCAAAAACTCAATACATCTAGCGAGTTAACTAGATTCCTAAAAACTATAGGGACCGTTGGAATGATAAGTTTGCACAATCAAGTTGATCTCTTAGGATTTCAAGAAGTTAAGTATCGGCCAGTGATTCTCTAATTAGAATTTTCAAAATTAATTGACATCCCATAAACACCTGGGTTGTACACCGATTAAAACTAATTGATCTTGTCTAAAGTTGGATTATTGGTCACAAAAAGAATATTTTTTGCTTGTAAAATATATGGGTTGATGTAATCTGTTATATACAACTATACAAAAAACTAGATAGCTGTAAAATGCCGACAATAGATCGTTATTAAACCACAAAACTAAAAAGCCAATAAAAATGCAGACTGATCCCGGTAATCATCCTAATTTCCTCACCTGGAAAAACTAAAGAATTTCAAGATTTGGACGACTTTAGTGAGAACAAGATTTTCGTCCTTAAAACCTTCTATTCATGGTTACCATTGTACGAACAAATGAATATTCGCTTAATCCATATTTCAAGTCTTTGCACTTGAGACTCATACCAGCTGGAACAATTCTTCAGCCTCAATAGATTACATACAACCATCAGTTAGTCCAGTTTAATTGTTAGCACTTTAGTTCTAGTGTATCTGGATATTTTAGAGAACTATTTCATCAACTGTCTGACATTAAATTCGTAACCACCTTATCCAATTGAAGTAGACGACTTCACAAAATTGGTTAATTCAAAGATCTTTTTTGCCTAGACCTCATATTTGTTGAACACCGTCAGCATCCCGGTGGTGTTAGACTAGTTGTTCACTTCCAGTGTAGGGTTTTTTATTGGATCAGAATTCATGCTTTTACATATTGCCATCAGTAAATTGCCCTTGAGTCACTTGTTAGAAATCTAACGGTCCTCACTATTCAATTGAAGTTGGTTGGTGTTCCAACACATTTGGTTTCTAATATCACCAGTAGGGATGTGCTCTTATGTCTGACTTGATTAAAGTTACACATTACAAATTTCTATCGCTCACGAAATCTAATAACAAATAATTCTGATCAGCAGTTAAGATGGAAAGTAGAGAATTACCGCAGACCAAGAACTACCGGATGAGTGGTCAATCAATCCTTTTATACTAGAAATAATGCTGGTAATAGCACCAATAATCTACCACTCATTTTTTTATGATCTGAAAATTGGATCTGTGAAGTCCTTCCATTAGTTGCCTCCTAGTGAACAAGTTTAAAAACTAAAACAAAGTTGATAATCACCGCTGTCGAGTTTTTATTAAATTCTCCCAAAGCTGACTGTTCATGAAAGAACTAAATTCTTCATTGTACCAACTAATTATGAAGCACATGCCTGTTAAATTTTCATGTTTTGTACTAATTCAGTCTATTTTTGAATTAAGAATGTAACGGGAAAGTTTGCAAATCTCACTTTATAGCTGAATGTACAAATTGTACTGACTGGTGCCTGTCGAAATGATAAAGGTTATGCAGCCTATCAACAATATATTGCATGGCTTTGGCAATCTCAAGATGCTCCTGACTTGTATGAAGAACAATCAAAGGGATTAGAAGATCAATTACAGGTTAGTTTTATTACACAAACATGACATTAATCTACTCAAAGTTTCCTCTTAATTAATATACACAGAAAATTTAAAAGATTTAAAAAAGACTTTATTCAATGTTACGAAATGAACTACATAAACTGATAATAAATGTCACAATCCATTTGAAAGTTTATTTTACTAAATATACCCATACACTTTGTTGACATCCTCAACTAGGTTCGATATTTAGTTGAATAGTGCGGTGTATTCTCTCTACACTATGTTAAACCAGAAATAAGTACAACCAATAGTCAAAATTGTTTGAACACTTCACTGTTTTTTTTCCACACCGGAATCGTTAACTATATATGAGAATCAGATAAAATTGCTAAACTTCTATCATTTGAAAACATTCAACCCATTAACCATTTGAGGTGTAGTAAATGTAATATATATTAGCTATTTATTTATTTATTTGAACACATAAATATTGGTACAAGAGAGCGCCAATATATATGCGCCACACAAAACAATGAGAATACGAAGAGAAGTAGAAAAAAAAAACTAAGGAACGCAAAAGAAAAAGAGAACAATGACGAAGAGATTGGAGTAAGGTAGTGTGGTAGTAACGACGGAACGAAAAGGTACAATCAGAAGAAATCTTTCAGTTAGAGAAGATACAACCACTTTTTATGAAGAAAGTAAAAGAAGGTTACAGCAGGATCGCCACTGGCTTCTATTCTGAGCCATATCTGATAACGTCTCTAGCCACTGTGTAGCACCATCTCTCGGACCCCAGCCAGGGAGTCGTCAAGGTCCAACAGAAGCCACTTCTTTGCAGCTTTCTTTCATGCCACGACACCATGTCATGCACTGACCACCTCTCCGCTTCTTCCAACCAGTCCCAGAGTCGGCAAATAATGCACGACATGGAATTCTCTGGGACGACATTCGGAGAACATGTCCAAGCCACCGAAGTCGGTGTTTCAAGATGGTGACACCAATTGAGTTATCATCTCTGTGCCCGAGCACACGATGCCGAACCTCTGCATTACTGACATGGTGTTGCCACTGAATGTCAGCAATCCTTCGGAGACAGCGATGATCGAACACAGAGAGTCGTCTAACGTCCTCAACTCGGAGAGGCCAGGTTTCACAAGCATAGAGCAAAACTGCTCTCACCGACGCGTTGTAGATCCGACCTTTTACGGCCAGACTAACATCACGAAGGCGCCAAAGGTGGCCTAGATTGGCATAAGCCGCTCTGGCTTTCACTATTCGTGCATTGATCTCATCGCTCACACCCCCACCAGCACTTATGCAGCTACCCAGATACACGAACTTCTCGACTACGTCTATCTGCTCACCATCCAGGGTGAGTACAGGATTAGAATCCTGCCAGTCTTGTAGGAGTACTTTGCACTTCGAAGGTGCAAAGCACATACCATACCTACGGACACTGATTGCCAACTGATTAAGTGCGGATTGCATGCCTTGGGCATTATCGCACAGTAAGACAATATCGTCCGCATACTCAAGGTCGAGAAGTCTTTCTCCAGGCAACAGATCCACACCACCATTACTTACATTCATCAGAGCTGTTTCCAGAATGTCATCGATGGCAAAGTTGAAGAGGAATGGTGAGATTGGGCAACCCTGCCTAACCCCACTGCTCGAATGGAACAATGGAGAGAGGTGGTTGTATGCCCTCACTCTGCCTGAGGTGTTTTTATACAGGGCTTTTAGGATGTTAATAAACTTCTCAGGCACACCCTTCTTCAATAGACAATCCCAGAGAACAGTCCTATCCAACGAATCGAAGGCAGCCCTGATGTCAAGAAACACTACGATTGTTGGCCTTTGAAAAGTATGGCAGTGTTCCAACATTTGGCGGAGGGTGAAGATATGATCAATACATCCTCGACCAGAATGAAACCCAGCCTGCTCCTCGCGAGTCAATCTTTCTCGGGTTTTGAACAACCTACGAAGAATGACGGAAGCCAATAGCTTGGACGCAATCGGAAGTAAACTTATCCCCCGATAGTTGTTACAAGAACGACGTGAACCCTTTTTAAAGATAGGGACAACTATCGACTCATTCCATGACGTTGGTACACTCTCTAGTTCCCAAACCTTCGTAAACAACGTCGTCAATTCCATAGTCAAAAAGTCACCACCATCTTTAAAAAGAGCCGGAGATAAGTCATCTGGGCCAGGTGATTTGTAACGCTTCAAGAGTTGGAGTTCCTTGCGGACTTCCTCCTCGTTTGGTGGATCAGTCGTCACCGGCCATGGAGGGCAGGACAGTCTGACCGATGTTGCCGGAGCAGCAGGCCAGTTGAACTGCCCTTCGAAAAATTCTGCCCACCGTCCAAGACGTCGATGGATGTTAGTGATTGGCATCCCATCATCCTCGCAGATTGTTTCACTCACACCAGACTTCTTGCTGCAAGTGGCTCGGATGAGCTGGAAGAGCTTCCGGTAGTTACCAGATGCAGCTGCTACTTCCAGTTCATTAGCACGCATCGACCACCAGGCTTCTCGGTCCTTACGCAAGCTTTGCCCAATTTCCTTATGTAACATCCTTCGTTTATGGTCAAACTCACGGTCACCCGGAGTAGACCGACGGGCTTCAATGAGTTGTAAGGAACCTGGAGAAACCCAGTGGTTAAAAGCGGGACGTTTCGCAAACCCACAACTGACTGTTCCCGCCATTTTCATGGCGTCATGCAATTGCAACCAATGCTCATCTATACTTTTCGGTGGAGTGGTAGCTAGCCTAGAGGCTAGCTCGGTTCGATACTTATTTGCAACAGAAGTTGCAACCAGCTTGCTAATATCAATCCGTTGATGGCGTTCACTTCGTTGTCCACTGAAAAGTAAGGCAAGATTGGCGCAGACCAAGGCATGGTCAGAGTCCAGATAGGTACTCCCAAAGGAGCGGCAGTCTTGTACACAACCACGCCAGCGGTAGCTGATCGCGATGTGATCAATCTGAGTCCAGGCTTGAGATGCAGAGGGAGGACGCCAGGTGGCACATCGGCGATGACTGTGCCGAAAGTTAGTGCTAGCCAGAAACAGGTTGTGGTCTGTGCAAAGTTGCAGTAGACGGTCCCCGTTATCTGACCTGCGACCAACGAGTCCCCATCGGCCACCTAAACGACTCTCTTCTGTGCCTAGACGCCCGACCTGAGCATTCAAGTCTCCGGCTAGTACTACAATATCTGTCGAATGCACTTTCTGGAGAAGAACTGATAACTGGTGGTAAAACTCATCCTTGATTGCATCCGGGCTGCAATCTGTCGGGGCATAGGCGGAGATGACGAAAAGACATCGTTTCTCACGCCGATTTCTTCTCACTTTGATGGAACTCTCTAATCTAACAGCACATAACCGACTGTTAATGGGGATTCAATCGACTAGTGCTGCCTCAGCTCTAGCGCTTAGTGCGACACCAACGCCAGCAAGACCAGACGAAGATGCCACAGGGTCCCCGGATAAGCGCACGTAAAACAAGCTTTTCGAAGCGACAGATGGAGATCGAATTTGTAGTACTTCGCCAGAGTCTTGAATACGGGTCTCGGATAGACAACACACGTCGATATTAAGACTTTCCAAAGACATAGCCAGCCCTATCTGTTGTCCGACCTGCATAAATGTGCGAACGTTGAAGGCAGCCAGTTTGAATGGTGCACGTGGTTTCAGAAAATCTGCTTCAGTCCTCGTATTCGGTGGTAACATACAATTTTCAACCGGACAGTGACTCGAGAACGTTTAGATACAGTCGGAATTCCACCAAAGACGAGCCGCTGTATAAGTATAAAAGAGGGTGAATAATGTGGAAAATAATAATAATAATGATAATAATAACAATAATGACAATAATAGTAGTAATAATAATATTAGTATTAATAATGACAATAATTGTAATGATAATAATCTGAATCAATTGTTTGTTTTTCAAAGCGACAAAAGTAATTTCCATAGACATAAAGAGTTCATCATTTGTGTGTGGGCTGTGATACTGCCCGGGTGCCCAAACCGAAGCAGGTGGTTATCTTAGGGGGCCACTCCCCGAGCCTTTGACCTAAAGGTCTAACCCACAAGGCAGTGGAGCATCGTAAGGAGATGCAGTCCCATGGTAGCCGGTGACCAACGATTGGTTCATACGCCATTCGTTCCCGCAGGATACTGGAGCCCATGTGCACCATTGATTTGGAATCCGGTTAAAGCGCCGGACATTCGCTTTTCGTCCTCTCATTTTCGTAAGCAACACCCCCGCCACGAGAAGGCAATGAGTAGGACTTCCCTGGCAGAGGCTGTATACGCGTGGCCGTGTGAGAGTATTTCGAGAGGGAGAGCGGACTCTCCCCACTCTCGGCCGTACCAGGGCATTCAGGGGGGCAGCCACCCCAAATTGTGGTAGTAAAAGTTTTCGAACATTCAATTTAATTTGAAGCGGTTCATGATTGATTTAAACGAAATTCAACCATCTCCACAACCTCTTACTGGCATAATTTAATAGCTAGAAGCTGTATATCTAAATTATTGAGTTACAGGTTTATATCGATTATATCGGCATAGAATTTGGTGCGATAGTGGTTGAATTAGAGTTAGAGTTTATAAAATCTCAAAACGATTAAGTTACACCACAACCTAAAAATGTATACATTCACTCCCTAATAGTACTAAGTCTGAAAAGAACTAAATTTCGTGAAAAGGCCTACCTCGATGTGCAATGTTTGCTGGCGTAGGCGTGGCCATATCAAGACGTTTCATCAGTTTATCAAGTCACCGACTGTTGAATCAAACCATGTCATTAGGTACAGACCACCAGGTTGAGGTCTAGGCGACCATCACATACAATGATCAGATACATTGGGTGACGTGAGTCAGAATTAATCGGAATAGTAAAGATGTGTTTACTTTGTCTTCCCTTAGATATTGTATTTTGAAACTACTTTGCGCCTTTCATTTCACAGTCCCACTCATTGTCCTCGACTCATATCTATGCCTAATCTTTTCGACCATCACTGATACTGTCACTATATGGCTCGGAATCGTTTACAATGGCGTAGGTGTATACACTTTGTCTTCAATTAAACTGTGAGATTAAAATTATTTTATACCTTTCTACGAACTAATTTTTTCTTCTTGTATTATACCCTTATATACGATCTTTTATATATTACTATCATTGGGGTAACTGAATTTGGTGTTGGTCTTGTTGTGCTAATGAGGTGTGGCAACTTGAACCGATGCATATATGTGCCTGGTCCTACGTTGTAAGTGACTGACTAACCGACTCTTCTACTATGGTGTTTTTTTATAATTTCATTTGGTTGTACCGATATAGTGACAACTGATGCCCATTATGTGCTAGGTTTTACGTTACATATGACTAACTGACCGAAACGGCTTTTCGTGTTACGTACCACTCATTACCAGTTTCAAGTGACATCTTTTTGTCCTTTTTTATGTATTTAAATACCACATTATCTTCACATTGGTTATATTTTTTGAATGTTATCGTTAGTCCTGATTCCCTGATCATTTATAACTCGGTCTACACACATCAAATTGTATATTACTAGTTTAAACACCACTCATGCCATGTTCTGTGTTTATATTTTGCCATTGTTTTCAGGAACCTTTGCAACCACTTCGTGATAACTTATCTTCTACAACATATTCAATTTTCGAAATGGATCCGTTTAAATATCAAGCGTATGAAACTGTAAGTCTTTAAATTAGTTTGTTTTATGTGGATTATTTCTTTATTTGTTATTTATTCCACAACTATTTAATCCTATTCCTGACGCCAAACTTATGAGTGGCATTCAACTCTGAGCCACAGATCTGAGCTCCATCCCATCTGTTTCGGTTCGGATAGTATCATTAAACCTCACACTTAGAGTGTGGCTCGTATCCAGATACCTGGTAAATGAGTTAATCTAATGATGATACTGAGGAGTAAGCAGTCAAGAAAGCTAGTGATTGGAGATTCTTTGCCTTTTATTATTCATTAGCAAATTTTATCTTCATCCTTTAAGAATCTGATGTTTTAACTAAGATATAAAATAATACTTTCTGCTTTCAAAAAACTATTTGTGTGTAAAATATTTTAGTTAACACTAGCTGTTTAATAACCATGTGTCGGATTTAATTTGCTCACAAATGTTCTATTCGTACCCTACAATGTAATTTAGGGATTGTTCAATTAAAATTATTACAACTTGGTGTTAAAATTTCATTCGTTTGGAAAGTGCAAACATAATGAAATCAATACAGAAACTGGTAACAAGTATAGATATTTGGACAAAACGTACACAGCAGCAAAACACAGCACATTAAATGGATAAAATTCTAATCAAGAATTTCATTTATGATAATAGATCGTAATGCTTCATTGATCGATTCCTAACATGTACAGTAATTTTTTCTTGGTTGTTTCATGTAGAATATGAATAATTGTTTAGTAATAAGTATAACGTCATGACTTTTCATGAATATATCCCCTTGGCATGCTTGGATGTCTGTATTTAACTTAGGGATCATGAATTAAATTTATTTCACATGACTGATTATTTAGTGATATAGACAGTACATAATATAATAACTTAGAAATATAAAATGTGACAATTAACAACATTATATATATACTAGTCTGTGATTTGACTACAGATGAGTATGGTCTACTGTTATGGCTTCATTTTCTTTACTATTAACAAACAAAACAAATTCTCAGTATTCAGAAGTATTTTATGAAGAATCTACTTTTTTCTACGGTCTATAAATCAAGTAGGTCACGTTCTAAAGAAACTATCAATAGGTTATTGTTATGTTGAAAAAATGCTTGAATGTATTTGGTCCCGTGTGATCGGGGCATAATTATCGGGAAGTAGTTGTGTGATCTCCCTCTAGTTTGGTTATCGATTAGTTCACCCATATTATTACCAGTGGGACGGATGCCATATTTACCAACTGATACATGGACCAATAAACGATGAAGAAGACCTTAACGCCTATTGGTGCTCGGGTTCCTTCTGACCCAGCGGCCAACCAAGTGACAAAATTAGGAAGCAGATCAGTCCTTTATTGGACTCAACACATACGATAATATACTTGACACATGTAACTACAGAGCATTACAATGTGTAAATAACTCAGTGGTAAAAATATATTATACTGGCAGCATTGAGTAAGGAAGTCGGAATTCAGATAACGCCTCGTCGGTCTTTGCGCAAAATTAAAAGCGTAATGAAAGGTAAAGATGACTTGTGTGTTACTAGGATCTAAGTAAAATTGAGCAATATTTGGTCTCTACAGTGTTTTGAATAGATGAAAAATATCTATTATCCACCCAAACAGTGAGCACAACATGGTCCTTAAGCTAAATTACAATAAATACCTGCTCCTGATATATTACTTATTAAAACACGTAAATATTTGTACAAGGAGGCATCGAATATATATGCGCCGCACAAGGCAGTGGAGCAACATTGGGAGGTGCAGTCCCATGGTAGCCGGTGACCAACAATAGGTTCGTACGCTATTTGTTTTCCCAGGATCCTGAAGCCCATGTGTACCATTAAGTTGAAATCGGTATTTTCTACCTCCCCTAGATGGATCCTCTGTACTCACCAACCCGGTTAAAGCGCCCGACATTCGCTTTTCGTCCTCTCAATTTCGTAAACAACACCCTCGGTGCAAGGATTCAGTGAGTAAGACCTCCCTGGCAGTAGTTATATGCACGTGGTCATGTGAGAGCATTTCGAGATGAGCAAACTCTCCTCACCCTCGACCGTACCAGGGCATTCGGGGACTGTATGTGTATGTATCTGATGTGATTCAGGGCACAGTTCAAGGGTGCTTACGTAGTTAAATAATATCCTCCCATTTTAATCCTTAACTCTAAATCTTATCCTTAAATTCCTTAAGTTCATACACAAGAGTCCCAAAGCTTCATTGCATTGTAGCTGATGCTAGTCGGTGACAAAGAACCTAAAGAGTTATAACCCTAACTCATAACTCCTAGTATATAAACGTGACCATCTCTGCTATAATAAATAAGTTAGAATGTAAGGCTTAATTAATTTTATCAAAACTATCATTCCACTGTAGTTTTTTCTTCATTGCTTATTGTCTTGTAATTAAACACTACTGATTGGCTAATAGATCACTCTAGGTTGTCAGTTTATTATGTTATACCGATATATTACATATGGATCAAACGAAAGCATAGGAATAGAATATAGAAATACAGCAGTACAAGTTCCTACCAACCATACAATAAAATATAATTAATAATTCCTCTCATGATAGTTCTATGAGTTGTACTTTCATACTACTCGTCCCATTATGTCAGCTATTTGATATGCAATTAGTTTCTAAACAGTCAATTTTGTAAGCAACATCGAAGATGTATTTAAATAAGTTAATTAAAATTATTTGTGTCAGGAGTTGCTATCTGGGTTTGAAGAAAATGTTGTAAGGTTTTGGTGCTTCAATGGCTTTCTTCGTTCTATTTAGTTTGCTCACGAAAAAACAACGTAGCTTTTAACGAGTAAGTCCCAGGTTTGAACCCTGGTCTACTGATTTTGTTTCGATTGTCTTCGTTTTCGCAAATTAACGGTCTTCCCACGTGATATGAAAGCTGCCGAAATCCAACTATTTAAATGTCTCCTAGCCTTCACCAAAGATAGTAATCAATACACGGTGTAAGACTTCAATACAGTTTACATTACTTCTCTTTATATTTAAAGTACAAGCTGTAGTGTGGTCAAATGTCTCCAAGTGTAGAGCATTAATTTATATAAACGGAAGTCGGGTGGAAATAAACACTCATCATTTTGCCTTTAGTCTAAAGAATTGTCTATCATTGGATTTCTTTCCTAATTATATTTTTCATTTGCTCTCCAGTACAGTAAAATTATAATATCGGTTTTATAAAACTCATTAGTAATGGTAATATATATGTAATAATTTAGGCAATTTACAAAGCTCTTTGCGACCGTTTATCTAAATATAATGAATCGAATACAGTTAAAGAAAAATGTCTTACCAAGCCTTCACAATCATTACAAACTAAAGAGCATTTAAACGCTTTTATCAATCATAATTCAAATATTTGTCAAGTAGTTATGGTATTGGGTGCAGGTCGTGGTCCCCTTGTCAATGCGACTATAAATGCTGCTGAAAGAGCTCAATGTAAAGTTCGGATATATGCAATTGAAAAAAATCCAAATGCATTGTGCACATTACGTGTAAGTTCCTGAATATCTGTTAATTATGATAAAGTTAATTGTATAGAGACAAGTTTCTAGTAAAAAATCTGTTGGCAAGTTATCACCACAACTGTGTTTGTCTCTTTTTTAATGCATCTTTGAGTCTATCCACTACTATAAAACTTTTCAATAATCGCCCGACCATTTGGCATCTGGCTTAATTAACCACCAACACCATGATGTTACTTACGCCTGTTACCCCTCGTGAAGAAGCATAGGCCGCTCAACAGCAATCTCCATCTAACTCTGTTCTTGGAAATCCCTTCCAGTTCCTATTCATGTCTGCTTCCGATTCCCCACACAGTTTGCTCCGTAATCTTTCACTTTTCCGTTTCCCTTCAGGATTTCAAGTTATGGTTTGCCGCCTGATGCAGTTTGGTGATCCACGCAATGTATGTCCTATCCAACTCCAACGTCTTTTCCTAAAATCCTCCTCAGATGAGAGCTGGTTTGTTTTCTCCCACAGTAGACTGTTGCTGATGGTATCCAACCAACGGACATTGAGTATCCTACTTAAACAATTGTTTATAAATACTTGTACATTTTTGATGATGGTTGTGATAGTTCTCCAAGTTCTAGCTCCATACATTTGAAATGTTTTGACGTTCGTATTGAAGGTTCTGACTTTGATATTGGTTGACAGTTGTCTTGAGTTTCGTACGTTCTTGAACTATAGGAATGCTGCCTATACTTTGCCAATCCTTGTCTTTACATCTGCATCAGATCCTCCTTGTTTGTCGGTGATACTGCCCAGGTATGTGAAACTTTCCACCTGTTCCAGAACCTCTCCATCAAGTATAATTTATTTGGGGCTCTTTGTTGTGTATTTGAGGTTCCTGCTTTTTCCCTTATGTACTTTGAAGCCTACTGATGCCGAGGCTTCAGCCACACTGGCTGTTTTGACCTGCATCTGTTTGTGTGTATGGGATAGTAGGGCTACGTTATCTGCGGAGTCCAAGTCGTCTGACTGCATGAAAGCTGTTTATCGTATTCCGTACTTCCCTTCAGATGTGGAGGTCTACATAATCCAGTCGACCACCAGAAGAGAAAGTAAACAGCCCTGTTTGACTCCGGTCCTCACTTGAAATGCATCTGTCAGCTGTACTCCATGCACGACTTTTCAATGTCGTCCGTCGTATGAATTCTGTATGATGTTGACTATGTCCTCAGATACACCATACTGTCGAAAAAGGTTCCATGAGGTTCTATCCACGCTGTCAAACGCGTTCTCATAGTCAAGGAAGTCGATGCATATTGATGATTTCCATTCAATTGATCGTTCAACGATAATCCATAGTGTCGTGATTTGTTCTGTGAACGACGTATCCCTGCGGAATCCGGCCTGTTGATCTCGAAGTTGGTCATCTACTGAATCTTCCATCCGGTTAAACAACACTTGAAACTTTTCCGGGTACTGATAATGGTTTGATGCCTCTGTAGTTTTCACACTTGCTCAGATCTCTTTTCTTTATTATCTTGGTGAGGTGTCCTTCTTTCCGGTCTGTCTACACTTGTTCCTTCTCCCAAATTTTTCTGAATAAAGTGTGAAGCATGTTTGCAGTTACTTCTATATCTGGCTTCAGTGCTATAGTTAGTATGTTGTCTGATCACGCTGCCCTCCCACTTTTGTTTTGTCTGATAGCCATCCTGATTTCTTTAATCGTTGGTGGAGTGACATCTACAGGAAGGTCTGTGTGTGCTTCTTTGATGTACATAGGGTTCATTGGGGCTTATCTATTCAAGAGTTCTTCAAATTGTTCTGCCCTTCTATTCCTCTGTTCTTGAATTTCAGTGATTGTCTTGTCTTCTTTGTTCTTGACTGGTCGTTCTGGTTTACCATATTTCCCTGCTAGTTTCTTCGTTATGTCATATTTCCTTCTGTTCCAGCTTATTCCGCTGTCATTGCTATGTCTTCCACGTATTTCTGCTTGTCGGCTCTAATGCTTCCCTTTCACTCTCTTGGATCTTGCCAAGTGTCTCGAGGCATCAGTCTCGTGACTTTCAAAGAATCTTGGCCTTCATCATGAAGTGTCATAATTCTTCTCGATGAAGATCCTTCGAATCCTATGGCAGAGTTTAAATTGTTTATTGTGATTAGCGATTTTTTAGCAACCCTCCTTTACTCGGGCTTGGGATCGGCAGTAACCCTGGAAGGGCTACAGGTGGAGTTACTATGATGTTGCTTACACTGAATAGTAATATGCATAACACTACATAATTAGCAATTAGTTTTTAAAACAATTGGCTCTCAACCGGAATGTCACAGGTTCGAACTGCGCTTCAATGACGAATAATAAATGTAACTTTCCATCTGACTAGTATGTTTGTTATGATGTTTGTTATCAAGATATGACGCTAACTTTAATTCATTGCACTTGTAGGTTTCTGTTAAGTACGAGAACATAAACATATAGAATTGCACTATCTTTGGTATTACTATTAGTTTAACTCCTTCGTTTCTCATCTCCCTGTTGTAATATGTAACGCGACATTCTCTAATCCGACGAATATTTGTCCCAAATTAATTTTAAGCAACATAGGATCTGACACAAGTGTATCAATTTATATAGCTACATATGTAAAACTAGTGCATCAAAATAAAAAAAACATAGGTGTAAACAATACTACAAACAGTTATCGATTACTAGACTGTGAAAAAAAAGAAAATAATACTTATTCTGAGAATTTTATAAAATTACGATAAACTTATGCATCTTTACAGCTTCAAGAATTACATTTCTAAACATTCATCAAAAAATATTTTGAGCTATATCAAATCTATGATTTTTTTGATTGAGATCATGAACCGATTGATCCCGCTCACGGGATCGTGGGTGCGCACTGCTGAGGAGTCTCACAATATGACGAAACGGCCGTCCAGGTTTCCAATGGTGGTCTAACATCACTCGGTTCATGATCTCAATCAAAAACTTAATAATCTCCACAACCCCTATACTGAAAATCTATGATCGTTTTACCTAATCTCATCTCTTGTTCAGTTTATATTTTCAATGTTTTTTGCCTTAAACTCAGTCTAGGATAAATCATGAATGGCAAGGATTAGATGTACAACTAATTGAAGGTGATATGCGTAATTTAAAAACACCAGAAAAAGCTGATATATTTGTCAGTGAACTACTTGGTTCATTTGGTGATAATGAATTAAGTCCAGAATGTTTAGATGGTGCACAACCAATGCTAAAAGGTATTTCTTTTGACTGTGTCAGATTAAATATTTTATTCTAAAATAATCATATGTTCTTTTTATATGCTTCTACTGTCTATTTTTTCTTGACTATGATACTTCACACGTATCTTCCTAATTAAAACAAAAATTTACGGTGAATAATACATATTTCAATAAGCTGAACAACAAAAATACCCGTAGTAAAAGCATTGATGTATTTTTGTAATTTATATAGAAATCTTGTGGCATTTCGACTTATCCACAAGCACTGATTGGTTAAGAATGGACCAATCAGTTCGTTCGTATTTTCGTTTGATCAGTACATGCAATTGTCAGGCTGCATACTGCTAACAATTCCCTGTTCAATGATTCTTCACTTGATCCCATTTCTCAATGTTTGTGTAATAATACTTTAGGAATCATATTTATCCACTTTACAGCAAAGAGTACTTAATACTCATCTAAATAATTTAAGCGGATTTCGATTCATTTTACTCACTAATTATAGTTAAAATTCAATATTGAATATTGATATTGTAGTCCTAAATATTTAATAGTTTCTAAATTTGCATTTTTAAACAATTGGTAAGTCGAACAAGATCGCCTTCATCGATTACTTAGTAATGAAATTAAATGCAAAGCCTTTTAACAAGTATTCCTTTCTGATTTGTAACTAATTTTTAAAACGATGTCTATCATATCAAACTTTTATATGATATGGTTTTTCCTTGGAAGAGAAATTGTTATCATTTTAACACTTTAATCACTCAATTACAAACCTTTCTGCTGAATGCACTAAATAATCACGAATACACTATGTGAATGACACAGAATTATTTATTACAACAAAAAAACAATGAAATATGATTAAAATTATTTCTCATTTTACTAAATTAGTTCATTATATACACTTTTAATGCAATTTATGTTCACTCAACATTAGGTCGTCGTAGGTTACCAAATTAGCTATCAATTGACAAAAGAGAATTCCTATTTCAACTTATATGCATCAATTTATTAAGTTTAAACAATAACATCATATTGTTTAGCCTATTTATCTAACTGCCATTTTCAGTTATTCTGTATGAACTAAAACAAAAATCAATCTTTAATTGTTTCTCATAGGATTTCAGAAAAAAAAAGTTTGATTGTAAACTGCTATTATTCAAGATATTTGTCTCTTTAACTGTCAGTAATATTTGATTTGATATTTTGTTTATAATTGAAAAGCCGACACCCTTATTTTTAAAATTTTCTTTTTAACAAAGTAATATATGAAACAGTTCGACTTCAATGTTACTTCTGTAGATGTTAATATCCAATTATTTACTCTGCTCTCTTTTCCTTAACTATTGTCTATTTATACTTGCTAATAAATCATCTCAGAATCAGATCGATAAATAAATTAATCTATGCAACTTAATATTATTGCTGAGTTCATAACGTCAATCATACAGTTGTTAGCCAATTTATTTCATTTCCAGTCCTCTTGCAGACTGGAGAAAATGATTTAGCTGCAAAGCTTATTCTTGATAATAAAAAAAACAAATAGATTAGTTCTGTAAGCTGTCATTACCGTCTATGTTTATTTAGGAATAATTCAAAGTTGCAGGTAAATTATAAGATTTTTGAATAGTGAATTGGTAGAAGGTAGAGCTGTTAAATATGGTAAATTAAGCCCAAACATTTTGAAAAGAACTTTCATTTCATACAGATAGAGTTCTCTATGAAAGTTTTAAGATTATATATATTCAAAAACAAATCATCATCTTGGATAACTACAGAACAGGTTGTATAATAGGTAAAGCAAATATTCAAGATCATGTCTATTAATTTGTTTTGTATTTATTGACAAGATTTTGTTCTGTAACAGAAATGTTGGACCTGGTCACCTCCCTACACTGAAATATATATATATATATCGTGAGGAATTCATGAAGTTCTGAGAGAGCGGTCTTAACCGATAAAAGTTAAAAATTCAAACCAAACCAGTGGATCCAAACATAGTGGTCTTAAGTTAACCCTCTCTTGTCCAGGACCTGGAATGTAGTGTGCTCAATTCCAGGTGCAATTATGGGTAAAAACTGTCGAGAAGTCATATACAGACTAGAACAAAATAGCCATTCAATGTTTCGTAGTTAACAATGGTTTTCTAGTTAAAATTAGTCCGTGATGCAAGCTTAATTTTACTTACTCATGTTTCTTCAATCCTATCAGAATAACTTTCATAACATTTTGTAATTTCTAACTAACTTTTGTGTGTGTTTTGCATTTGTTAAAATTCCCTCTCCTATAAAAAGAAATAAATGTGGTAATGTTCTTTTCTGATATTAACTATTGAACATTTGAATCTTATCGTTTACGTATTCTGCATTCTTATTCATTTCACTTAGATGATGGAATTAGTATACCATGTTCCTACACATCATATGTTGCTCCTTTACAGTCCTTACAAATATATAATGAAACTAGACGATCTAAAGATGTGGTAAGTGGTTGGTTACTCTGATTTGTTTCCAAGTTTTTAGATATAATGAAGAGCAGTAAGTATTATTGTTATTATTCTGTGTAAATTATAAATGATAATCGAAGATCCAATAAACTACACTTCAGCGTAGTTGAGATTAGCATTGAATAAGTGAATCTCCTTCGCAACAGTCGTTTTAACGTTTTTTTGTGGATCCGTTTCATGTATCCTATCTCAGCAACTTTTTGTATTGAGAAAACAATGGGCATCTGTTGATTAAGTGTTACGTTGTTGCTGTTGAGTTCAGTCATGGTTACGAACTATTTTGTTGTGTAACGGCACTACATAACCGCTTGACAATTCAATGTTTCATACTTGAACTATGTGTACAAAGGTAGTAACATATGCACAAGCGATTCACTCAACCGTAGTTCTAATATTTTTGGCTTTTTATGTGTGATAGACTAGTTGCTAATTATTGTTACATTATACAGTCATTCGAGTCTAATGCTAATACACAAGATTCCTAAATGCAAGCTCCAAACCATCTTATTAAGTAAAAGCAACTTTATTGGCTATGATTGAATCGAGAATATATGCACATTCATGAATACACATCTTTTTCCCTTGGGGATAAGGTCGACATTAAAATGAATATGATATTTTTTAAATTAGTTACCAATTGTCATCCCACCCACATTGTTTTAATTTATTCCAGACCAGTCCCAGTGACTGGTTAAGTGGTTGCTTTAAACTTGAAGAGACAAAATTACCTTGATAAATGTTTTACTTCATTAATTGTACCTTTTTCAATACTGCAGACCAATAGAGTCGGGCATTCCATGGAAACACCTTATGTTGTTCGACTTCGTAATTGTCAAATATTGAGTTCACCTCAACCAGCGTTTACATTTGAACATCCAAAAAAAGGTGAGTGAATAAGCTTATTGTTATATCTTATGTCCTGTGTCCTATTAAAGTATAACGTAATGATACCGTCAATTCAAGTACAGTGAATTATCGTCAAAATTAAAACACGAATTTCAGCGAAGGGATCTCTTTTCAACGAATTTATTATCAAGCTGTACAATCGTATATATATGAAAATTTTGTTTTTGTAAAAGTACTAATTCCGAACCAATGACGCATAAACAAGCACGAGCAGTCTAGAGTCCTTATCGGTCGTGCTTCCTGCCTAGCCCTGCCTGTTAAGTCCAGAGCACCAATCTCAGCCTCTGCAATATAAATAATTTCAAACATACTGGGTTTATATACCAACCAAACAGACCACATCACACCACAAAATAGGAAACAACATTTGTACAAGATTTAGCCAAAAGTGGCAGTGAATGTGAGAGATAGCAATTGATAGACTGGGTATAACTCAAGAATGATAAATCCTATAATAATAGTTCATAGGTCAAAATAAAGCTCATAATAAGAGGGACAGAATATGTATAGTTTAGTTACTTGACAATCATACGATAAAAGTATACGTATAGTAATAGTCCAGAAATAGATCGCAACAGTTACCATTCATTATTCTCATCGACATATAACACATATAGTTAGAAAATTTTTCATTCTTAAGTATTTATATTTCCATCGAACAATAAGACATTTCGTTTTTTTTTTCTAGAATCGAATCAGTCAAATGCACGTGAAGTGTGTTGTAGCTTTAACATTCAACAAGATGCCGTTGTACATGGAATTGCCGGTTATTTCGAAGCAATTCTCTATAAGGACGTAACACTCAGTAAGTTATTGAGAATTATTATGATTCATGTGTTTGAGGGAAGTTTCGCAAGAATCCAAGTTGGTTTCCAGGCAAGCCACATAAGATGCATATATGCCAAGAGACTGATCAGTTTCAGCTCTTAGCACCAACAATGCGAGTATTCAAACATACAAATTAAATTTGAGAATGCTTAGAATTTCTCTATTTTTGCACAAACTGGTTTGCTTACTGATTATTTAATAAAATAGCGTATTTTTCTTAAATGTGTATGGGTATCAAGGGTCATACTACGTGTTAACATATCACAAAGCCTCGTTCATTTTTCTTTCTAAAACTGATTGTCACAGTAGTGCTTATTAACTAAGCATGTATTTTCTATTCGACGTACATAAAAATGACTAATGATCCGCTCCTATTAGTATGTTGAGTGTTAACTCAGACTGCATGCATGTAAAATCTCAAGTGTTTTTAAGGTAATTAGAAAAAACTGCTGGTGTCACCTAACAATTAAGGATCTTCCTTTTACATCTAGGTGCGTGATCGTTAGACAACAGTCAAATAAAACATGTAAACGGCTTTTGACACTTAGCTAACATTCTTTCACTTATGTTCTTATCAACTTATTTTTCTCTCTCAAATCATTTGTTGTTGTTGCCTTCGATTATGTTTGAGTTTTTGTACTATACTGTACTACTACCTATATGGAACAGATTTCCAAAGAAAACTAAATATTCTTATTCGTAAAGCACCTAATCGTTTTTCAGTAATTCTACACACTAAATGAAAAGTAGCCTTGTGACTGCACACGGCTGAGACATCTCCGAGTAGTGATGGTCGATAATACTCCCCAACTCTTCAAACAAGAGTACGTTGTATACAGTTCAACCTGCACTGGTAACCAACCATTAAGTAATTACCGCACTGAATAAGGTCTCATCCGTTTTTTATTAGGTGATTACTTTCAGTTCACACATAGTAGAAATTGACTGGTAAACATCAGTCGCATTTAAAAATCAGCTTTCACACTAAACTCACCTTTTCCCTACGTATGCTTATCGACTTAACGAAAAGCATCCATTTGGTGATTGCTTTAGATCAATATATTAACAAAACTATCTAGAATTTTCAAAGTACCAGATTCTGAATATGACCTGAAATTATATACAAATTTCATATAATTCTTATTTTCCAGGTACACATCCGGACCGTCATAGCCCTCAAATGGTATCTTGGTTCCCATTGGTATTCCCATTCGAGTATCCAATCCATGTTCGTTCTAAAGATAAGATCACCTTGTATCTCTGGCGTAATGTAAGTAGTCGGTATGTGTGGTATGAATGGGTACTAACAGAACCGCGACCTACAAAAATTCACAATGCAGCTGGTCATGTTTACAAAATTGCACTTTGATTATCATATGTGAAAGACTGAGCTATTACTTTTTTAAACTTTGTACAGACATAAAAATTGTTTGTCAATAAAACTATATTTGCATTATATTTTAATCATAATGAAATAAACAGCTTTCGAGCAAACGTATGCTTATTGTACAAGAAACGACTGATGTCCATGTTGTTGCACATTTTTCAAAATTATTTAACACTTCTAACGAGCTTCAACGCAAATAGTTAACCCTTTCTAACATCTGAAGTGAAGTAGAGACGTTTCCAAGTTAGGAGTTGAATTTTTAGAATTCTACATTGTGATCCATGAAATGATATTAATGTTCAGAGATTCTTGTCTGTTATCAATCTAAGCTTAAATGTTGCATACACTCAAGTTGAATTCCGCCATACTATACAGTAGAAATTGTTACTAGCATGCTACCATCAATAGGTAGGGCTTCACTCACCTTTAACAGAAAGAGTAAATTCTGTAAACTTGGGTTACATATTAGATTTGATAGAAATGAAATATTACAATATATATCCAAATGTCACAATAAACAAAATAGCGCAAATTACTCAACTAATCGGTACCATGTACGCTATTATTTTCAAAATTGAGAGAGCGTCCACATTTAGTAGTACTGTATGATAACAAACAATAATACAATGCATGTATGTGGAGTTCATTTAAACAAAATAAAAATAAGAGCAGAACCAGTCTGGATAAGTGGCATATGTATACATATCATTGAATAAACCGAAAACAATTTAAAGGTGAAGAATGAATTATTAAATTGGAGATTATTTTTATCATTGTTGTGATGGTAAAAAAGCAAAATACACATGGACTGCTCGCACTATAATAAGTAATATTGTATGTACATGTATAAATTAAATTGATTATTGGTCAGTTAGCTAAGCTAGAAAACATATTTACAACGTGAAAAAATGTTTATTGGAGCATTTGGTTCTTCTGAGGTTGTAAAATCCTCGGATCGTCACATTGTTAATTAGAATATTTGACAGTTGAAGTGTTTTGTACCTCGCCGAAAAAGGGGTTGTCATTCACTTCAATATCCAATTTTTCGTGAGTAGGCTTTTCTGGGATAATTGTTTCTACTCCGCTACTGGTAGCAGAACTTCGTACTTCCTCAATCTCAAGGTTTATTTCCGGCTTGACATTTTGTGTTTTATCTTTATTTTGTGAATGAATACAGTTAGGATGCTTTGCTAGCCAATCAGAGTGGAATTTGTGCCACTTGGAAGGCGAATAGTTTCGACAAGTCTGAAACAGGAATATTGAAATTAAATATTATTATGGACAAACAATGATCGGTATAGAACAAACAAGTTATATTCCCAGATTAATATCATGAACCTTTTTTATACATCATAGATTATGGTAAACTACGATAAGACAACTATTTGAACAGCAACATTGCTTATGTGAATTCTAACCTCAATTATGACTCCAGAAATTGGATGCTCAAGGCTTTAAATACTTATTTTTCATAAGGAAATATACATCTGCATACGCATAAAAAAAACCGATACAAATATTGAGTGATAGCAGCTGCTTTCAAAAAGAATAATAACATGGCATTGTTTTACTTCAACTCACTCGTCTACGATATCGAATGAAAATCCCATAGGAACCGACGGACCAATTTATTTTGTGATTACGAGTAACTCTTGAATCCAAACGCTCAGTGAAATGCATGCAATCACTTGAAAATGTATCACGGAATAACTATGGAAAAGGAAAATAATTCATACAACTGTAAATAAACATGACTTTTGATCTAACTAGGTAGTTCAGAATAAAGATCTATGTAATTTTTACAAACAGTAAATATAGTACGCTTTTCACGGGATTTGTCGACTTTACCTCTTTATACAACAAGTAACAATATTCAGAATTAACTGTATACAAACTACTATGGTCAAATTAACCATTGTATATTTATTATAATTATTGATACTATGGGTTTATTTAAAATGAAGGATAAATGAACTGAGTATGATTAGTATACCATTGGATTTCATAATGCAATCATTCAACTGACACCTGAACGGCTAAGTACAATTTATCTAACTGCTATAATCTTTATGGAGATTTTCCACTTTCAAATAATTATACCTATGCACACAAAACAGAATAAAGAAGTAGAATTATATCAAAATAAATTTACCTCTTTATGTGTGAGATTATTTTTGAATACTCGGATCATGAACTCCCAAACATCTCGTTCAAAATTTGATGTGTTAGGAGACTTAAATTGTTCATTTGTTTCCGATTTGTTTGCTGAGATTGGATTCTTAACACCACTAGAGACTAAGCCTTGTGATAAAATCTAAAATTTAAAAAACCAAATCAGAAGTAAAGCAGTTTTAGTTGTTTCGATTATACATAAACAGTAGAATACTATCCCATCACCACAGTAAATAAATACACAGAAACCAACTTCGAGAACAGAAAGAGGTTAACAGACTTAATGATAAGTTGGTAATATTGATTAAGACTACTCCACATATTGACATTTGTTTATTGATTTGAACACATAAATATTGGTACGAAGGGGCACCGAGTAGATATGCGCTGTGATACTCCCCGGATGCCCAGATCGAAGCAGGACATATTGACAATATAACTGTCGAAACAATATCAAATCTGTTAAGAATAACTACATAGGTGGTGGTGGTGTTTTGTGTTCAATTTACTTGTTAATTCTCTTATTACTTAATATTCTTCGGACGTTACTTCATTTGACAAATGCCAAATTAGGACGTGGTTGAACATGAAAGTAATTATATTCTGAATAAACAAGAGTGAATGGAAGCAAGAATCACAATAGGGTTACTGCTGGTTCAAAGCCCGGGTAAACGAGGAGGGTTAAGCATGGGATCAGCAACCCCTCACCGTAGAAAATAACCTTGCTAGAAGAACGCTAACCACGGCCTATCCAAGCATCCGCTAGCGCTGATTGGTTAGGAAGTAGCTAGTTAGCGTGTTCCAACACAACCCTGGCCGGAACATGCTTTAACCCTATCTATATCTCGCTAACATTTTACAACATTGTCAAGAAATTATATGCAACTAATTCGTGAAAACCTTTGAAAAAGGGATAAAGGCACTTTCAAAAACAGTTTACAAATAAGGTTGAGCAAATTATACATAGAATGGCGACAGTTAACAAACCTCTTCAGGTTGTATATCTCCGGTATCAACAAGTAGCTGTTGTCTTCTTTGAAGTGCATCATGTGTCAAAGCATTTACGCACCTACGAACATTCCGATATAGAAATACCGGTCGAATACGAGAACAGACACTATGTGGAACATAACCAATAGTCCATGAAAGATGAGTTGTAAGATAGTCATACCAGTGCCGGATTGAAAAATTCGATTTTAAATTTTCTCTGTGAAGACGAACCTCCCCATCTACGATGCCAGGATCATCCGAAGTAACTAATAATGAATGAGGATTAAGCTTTGTGTGACCGGAATAAGGAAAACATGAATCATAACTTTTCTCCCCTTCAAGTTTTGTTGAATTCATAGGTTTCATAAGGCGGATAAGCATAGTAGATGACTCCGAGAGTACCACCATTAGAAAACAATTTGGCCAGGAATTAGTATTACTGTTGGAAGTAACATTCGTATTATTTTGACTAGTACTGGATGGAAACGTTCCAGAACTAGATCCAACGTTGCAAGATCCATTAGCACCAGCAAAGGCGGAACAAATAGTCATAGCTTGAGAATGGTATGCACTTTCATTAGCTAACCTACACACACGAGTGTACAATGGACCACAAACGTTCCTACAGAGAAAAAGATTCAATCATCTCAAAAATAAACAGTTCACTAATATGGCAATATTCAATAAGCAACTAAAAGTTGTCCGTTCAACTTTCAGGTTACAGAATGCGGTTTACAAATTCATATAGAATTTTATTTAGGTTTGGTAGCAACTAATTACGAGTTCACTCAGTATTGTGGAATATGCCTCATATATGAAGAGTAATTCGTACGTACTAGGCTCCTCGAGTCTCAACATGTCCAGTTAATCTTGAATTCATACAACACGACATCTGATGAGTACTTAACAATTTTAGCAACAACAACATTAAGGTTATATGAACAGTAAAACATTCACGGTACTTCAGAATCAGCTTTAATATGCATTGTCAGTAAGTAAAAACTCCCGGTTCATATCAATAAAAGTAGGTTGAAACGTTTTAGATGATCAGATGACAGAATATAAAGTTGTAATAATCTTTATTACACTCCTCCGTAAATCTATCATGTTCTGAACAAACTTGAAGCCAGAATGATCAGATGACAAATAAACCACTCTAACCTTACGAGTTATCTTGCATGCCTTTATGTATTTGTTTTTGTCAATCCTGTTAATGGTATTTTATCTTTCCATATACATGTGCTGTTTGGTATTTATGCATCTATCTGCCCCTCTTTGTCTGCGTGGGCCATAAAAACTGAGACACAAAACTATCCAATGAGTTAGTTAGTACACAAATTTCAAGACTACGTTAGTATATTTACTTTCTCGATGTCTACCAATACGAATATCTCTGAATTATATTCTCAATAACATTTCGCATTCAGCCTTGTTGCTTTGTTCAACGTGACAAATTTAAGAACGTGTAGGTTCAATGAGAACTATATTTCATCACTGGAATCGAATCCACTTCCACAACCGACGAATCAAATGTAAACAACGGTAAAACCAATTATCACAAATTAAATAGTCTATAATAGGTTTAACGATCAGAAAAATGAGTCCTAATAGAAAAATTAAACCCAGTAATTAAAAACCATTATTTTACATGTCTCTAACTGATTTTAGTAATCTAAATGAACAAACTGTTTGTAAGTTTCTGAATTGTAAATATTTCACCATTCTATGCCTTTCCATATTTTTAACTTCCGTGGTCAACTTACACAATTCACGTTATTTTTATTTATTATTTAAACACATAAACATTGGTACAAGAAGGCACCAAATATATTTGCTGACTGTATAAACTCTACGTTATATCAATTAAAACTAGAAAAAAAATAACGCTCAAGCGTAAAAGAAAATTAAAGTATATTTAGTGAGCTAAAGTGAACTTACGAAAAT